CTTTCTCCGGTAAAATATTTAAAAGGTGGGGCCGAGTGGTTTGGTCTAAAAGCTGCTTTTATAATTTTACTCTTTATTTGAGTAAGGGCTTCCTTTCCTCGAATTCGGTATGATCAGCTTATGGCTCTATTATGAAAAGCGTATTTACCTTTAAGTTTAGGGGTAGTAACTTTTGTGGCTAGTGTTCTTTTGGGGTTTAATGGCCCGCCTCCGATCTAAGATATTTGTTGTTTGAAGTATTTAATTGGTTTAAGTCTAAAGACTATTCTTTAGATAAATTTGTTTAGTTTGTTTTTTTACTATTAAAAACGTTAAAAGTTTAATTCTGGGGGGCTTTCCTATGCCACTGCGCAAAGAGAATCCGCTTTTATCTCCGATGAATGGTGTCTTGGTAGATTTATCGACTCCTTCAAATATAAGTTATATGTGAAATTTTGGTTCTTTATTAGGATTATGTTTAGGTTTGCAGATCATAACAGGGTGCTTTTTGTCCATGCATTATTGTGCAGATGTTGGTTTGGCTTTTGCATCGGTAGGACATATTATGCGCGATGTTAACTATGGGTTTTTATTAAGATATTTTCATGCTAATGGAGCTTCTCTGTTTTTTTTATGTCTTTATCTTCATATTGGGAGAGGTTTGTATTATGGGAGTTATACGAAAGCCTCGGTTTGGCGAGTTGGTGTCGTAATATTTCTTTTGACGATGGCGACGGCTTTTATGGGCTATGTATTGCCTTGAGGCCAAATGTCTTTTTGGGGGGCGACAGTTATTACAAATTTATTGTCAGCTTTGCCCTATGTGGGGACCGATATTGTGCAATGAGTCTGAGGGGGGTTTAGTGTCTCTGGGGCTACGCTTACTAGATTTTTTAGTCTTCATTTTCTTTTCCCCTTTCTTTTAGCCATTTTAGCTGGAGTTCATATTGTGTATTTACATGTAGAGGGGTCAAATAGTCCTGTAGGTTCTAAGTCCCCTGTGGATAATGTGGTTTTTCATGTTTACTATACATCAAAGGATTGATATGGAATAGTAATTACGCTTATGTTATTGAGTGTTGTTGTGTATTTGGCGCCAAATTTATTAGGCGACCCAGAAAATTTTATTCAAGCTAACTCGTTGGTGACTCCAGTGCACATTCAGCCTGAGTGGTATTTTTTATTTGCTTATGCAATCTTGCGTTCAATACCGAATAAACTCGGGGGAGTTGTGGCTATGTTTTCAAGTATATTAATTTTATTGTTTTTCCCATTACTTCATCGAAGTTGATTGAGAGGTTTGCCCTTTCGTCCATTTGGGCGTATAGCTTTTTGATTTTTAATAGTGGACTTTTTTCTTCTTACTTGAATAGGGTCGCTTGTAGTGGAAGAGCCTTTTATATTAATTGGGCAGTTAGTCTCTCTTTTTTATTTTTCTTATTTTCTGATTTGAATTCCTTTGTTAGGGGAATTAGAAAACCAACTATTGTTTTTTTGAAAATGGGAGGATAATCCGTCGTAATAGTCGCGGGGGGACTCCTCCTGTACCTCTCTACCCTTTTTCATTATTAGGGGCAGAGAAGTGAAACGCATAAGTCGAAGCAGGCCTCGTACAGCCGGTTCTAGAAGTACCGGCCGAAAGCGAGCCGAGTTTAGAGAGTTCAGTTCTTCGGAATTCATTTGTAAAGCTGCCTCTATGGGGAAAAATGGGGGTTGAGTATCGCTTTGTTGATGGGGTGGGTGGTCAGTGAACTTTTTGTATTAGGTGTTTTGACGTTGGGTATAATGGTTGTTAGTATGAATAGTTTTGTTTTAAAACTATCGATTTTAGTGTTATTAATTATAAGTGAATGGGGCGGGGGCCTTTCTTTTTTATTTGAATATTTGTCGAGTTTTTTTTTTGAATTATCTGTGGGTGGGTTGTTGACCGTAAATGGTTGAACTGAAACTAATAAGTTAATTATTATCATAGGTTCTATTGCTGTTTTATTGATGGTGGACACGGAAAAGCTAATTTTCCCAAAGGTTTTTGGGGAACGAGTTCCTGATATTTTTATTCAAACGAATGCGCACTTACCCATTTTAAACTTAATGGTGGCATTAGGAAGTCTCTGCTTAGTTTCTTCAAGTAATTGACTTTCTGTTTATTTGGCCATTGAATTATCTACTCTTTCTCTTTTTATTTTGGTCGCTCAAAAGGGGGGATCTGGGCAAAGTGCCGAAGCTGGTTTAAAATATTTTGTATTAGGTGCACTTTCATCTGGTCTGTTTTTATTTGGGTGTGCTTTATTGTGTGGATTTACGGGAGGGGTTCATATTCCATATATAAATTTAGCATTGAATCCGGGGTTTGATTTTTCTGAGATCAGAGTTCCTATCGGTAGTTTGTTAATTGTGGTATCCCTTTTATTTAAGTTGTCTGCTGCACCCTTTCATATGTGGGCGCCAGATGTTTATGATGGAGCACCGACAACAGCGACGGCTTTATTGGCTATAGTTCCTAAGGTTGGTTATTTTTCTATTTTGGTTTCAATTGGGTCGGCGGTTAATATGCTATTAGTTGGGACTCTTTTTTCGTTGGTTGTGGGAGCTCTCGGTGCTTTAAATCAAACCAAAGTTAAACGGTTGTTAGCCTACAGTGGAGTAGGGCATATGGGGTTTGTGCTTTGGGGAATAGAGGTTGGGTCATTTGAGAGTATTCAAGCTAGTTTAACATATATGATTTTATATGTGATAATGTCTATTTGTGTTTTTGCTATAATATTAGCTTTAGGCACCGTAAGAAGTTTGATTGTAGAGTTTAGCGGGCTTTCCAGGAGATTGCCTGTTTTAGCTTTGACCTTGGCTTTGACTTTTCTTTCGATCGCGGGGATCCCTCCTTTAGTGGGGTTTTTGGGTAAGTGGTTGGTTTTATTGTCTGGGGTGGTCAATCAATATTATTTAGTCTTTATTTTGGCCGTGGTGTGTTCTGTTGTAGCTGGTGTCTATTATGTTAGAATAGTCAAAATTATTTATTTTCAAGCTAGTTTTTCTCTTTTGATTAGCTCAAAGGTGCTAAGAAAAGAAAATTGAATAAATTTAAGGAAAGCTTTGTTAATTGGTGCTGGTTTGTATGTCATTGGATTTACAATGCTCTCTCCTAATTTATGGTTGCAATTAGCTCATTGGGCTGTAGGAGGATTATTTTAAAAAAAGGTAAACTTGATTGGGGTGGCTTTTTATATACTAGGATTTGGAATAGTTGGTTCTGGAATTATGGTCATATCAGCGCTCAATCCCATTCATTCAATTTTTTGGTTGGTTGTTGTCTTTACTGGCTCTGCGGTATTTTTTCTTTGGCTGGGAATAGCTTTTGTTGCTTTAATGTTTTTAATAATTTATGTGGGGGCTATTGCTATTTTATTTTTGTTTGTAATTATGCTATTGAATTTAACAGATTTTCCCCCTGCTTTTCGATTGGGTGGGGAGGCAGATATGACAAATTATGTTCCTATTGGATTACTTATTGGAACCTTTTTTTTTTCAGAAGTCGCTTCAAGTTGATTAATAATAGGTGGCTCTTATACCCATCGAGCTTTTTTTGGGGCTGAAATAAGCAGGGCTTGAGATTTGGCAACTCCTTGGTTTTTAATGAAGTATCAAAATATGGAGGCGCTTGGACGCATTTTGTATATAACCTGTTATTATTTATTTATTTTGGCCAGTTTTGTACTTTTAGTGGCCATGATAGGGGCAATAGTATTAACACAAGAAGTGGGGTCTGAAGTAGGCCCTTTGGTCAAAAGACAAGATATTTTTTTTCAAACAAGTCGGTAAAAACTGAATGGAAAGAATTTCATTTAAAGATTAGTTTAGCTTTAATTGTTTGGGGGTTGTGTTTTAGATATTAATGAATGGTGCTTATTTTGATCAATTTAAAATAGTGACTCTGATCGCCTTGACTAATTCATCAATGATGATGATCTTAGCAGTGGTTGTGGTTTTATTATTATTTAAGGGGATTCAATTAATCCCGAAAAGGTGGCAATCTATTATTGAGTTAATCTATGATCATCTTTATGGTGTCGTAAAAGATAATCTAGGGTCTGAGGGGTTAAAGTATTTTCCTTTAATTATTTCTCTCTTTTTTTTTATTGTGTTTTTGAATGTGTTGGGTTTATTTCCTTATGTTTTTACTCCGACTGTTCATATTGTAGTTACATTGGGTTTATCTTTTTCAATAATCATAGGCGTAACGTTAGCTGGTTTTTGGAGATTTAAGTGGGATTTTTTTAGTGTTTTTATGCCGAGTGGGGCTCCTTTGGGTCTAGCCCCTCTTTTGGTGCTAATAGAAACACTAAGTTTTTTCTCCAGGGCTATTTCATTAGGAGTTCGTTTGGCGGCTAATTTGTCGGCAGGGCATTTATTGTTTGCTATTTTAGCAGGGTTTGGGTTTAATATGTTAATTGCAAGTGGACTCGTGGGGGTTTTGCCCTTGTTAATAATGGTTTTTATAACATTATTAGAAGTAGCTGTTGCAGTAATTCAAGCTTATGTTTTTTGTTTATTAGCTACTATTTATTTGGCGGATACAATTGTACTCCATTAGTTGGAAAGTGATATCTTTTGATTAGTTTTAAGATTTAAAGTTTAAGGTTTTATTGTGGAGGGAGGGAAGGTCTGGTTTAAAAAAATTTTTCAAAAAATTTCGGCAAAAAATCTTTACAAATAGATAAGAAGATGGCTAATTGTGCGTTCATCTCGGACGTTTGGGTGTTTTGTTGAAATAATTAGCGCCTGGCTGCTAAATGGGCTCTTAATAACTCCAAGGTAGAGTAAGTTACTGTGGTGGGGCGAGCCAAGAGTGTATAATGTTTGGTTTAAATAATGGATTAAGTCTAGTTTTTTTTTTGCTCTTTATGGGGATAATTAATGTGATGAAGGTTTCGAGAGAGGATAATGTAAAATTAAAAAGAGTTGCGTTAGAATGGTCTTTGGCGACTTTGCTGGGTGCTTTGGTTTTATGGGGGGCTTTTGATTTAGAGGGACAATTTCAAATTATAAATCGAATAGAATGGGTCATTTCTCCGGGCTTAAATTTTCAATGGGGTCCGGGGTTTTTTGCTTTAGATGGGGCCTCTTTGTTTTTTTTTGTTTTAACTACACTATTGATACCAATTTGTATTTTAATTAGTTGAAAGTCAATAAAACATTTGTTTAAAGAATTTTTGTTGTGTTTATTATTTTTAGAGGCTTTATTAATTGGAGTGTTTTTAGTGCTTGACTTACTTCTATTTTATATTTTATTTGAGGGCATATTGATCCCTATGTTCCTTTTGATTGGTGTTTGAGGTTCAAGAGAAGAAAAGGTACGTGCCTCTTATTATTTTTTTTTTTATACTTTCGCGGGATCGGTGTTTATGCTTTTGGGCATCTTTCAATTATATAGTGTTACAGGAACCACCGACTATCAAATATTATTAAATATAAAGTTGCCTGTTACTACTCAAAAATGAGTGCTAGCTGGGTTTTTTCTTAGTTTAGCGGTTAAAATTCCTCAAATACCATTTCATATTTGGCTTCCCCAAGCTCACGTGGAAGCGCCCGTCTCTGGTTCAGTAATATTGGCGGGAATATTATTAAAGTTAGGGGGCTATGGGTTTTTAAGATTTTCTTGGCCGATTTTGCCTGCTGCCTCCGAGTATTTTGCTCCTCTAATTATTATGTTAGGTGTTGTAGCTGTTATTTATGGGGGCTTACTAACTTGTCGACAAGTGGACTTTAAGCGGCTCATTGCTTATTCTTCGGTGGCGCATATGGGGCTGGTTCCTTTAGGTTTATTTACCCATACAATTGAGGGGCTGGTGGCGGCAGTTTTCATGATGTTAGCGCACGGGTTTGTTAGTTCAGCCCTTTTTATTGCTATTACTTATTTATATGAGCGTCATCACACTCGTCTTATTAAATACTATCGTGGAATTACCCTTACAATGCCTATTTTTGTTTGTATAATGTTAATTTTATCATTAACTAACATGGGCATTCCTTTAAGTTGTAATTTTGTTGGGGAGTTTTTTTCGTTGTTAGCTGCTGTTGAGTATAATTTGGGGCTTGGGGTGTTGGCTACTTCGGGCATGGTTTGGTCTGCGGCGTATTCTCTTTATTTATATAATCGAATTAGTTTTGGGGCGGCCTCTAACTATCTCCTTTATATTAGAGACTTAAATAGGCGGGAGGTATTGGCCATCTCTCCTTTAGTAATAGCCGTTGTCGTTTTTGGAATATTTCCTTTTGTACTTATAGACCCTATAAAGAATGGGGTTATCTTTAGCCCAGGGGGGGCTTAAATGTTTTATTTTTTGAGAGTCGAAAGTCCTTTGGTTTTGGGGAAGATAAAAGATAAGTGACCTCCAAAATACATGCTAGTATCTAAAGATTGGTCTCCAAACTTTAGAGTGCGAACAGGTGAGGAAAACCGGAGTCCAAGTTTGGCTGGGCCGGAGTCGTATTAGGTAGAAGGGGGTGTAACGGACCACCTTGCTTATGATGCGGGGCTTTAGTTAGGAGCCACATTTTCACTGAGACAAGGGGAAAGCTCAAATGGGGTGTTGGCCCCCGAGGCAGCAGTAAAGAATTTTGTGCAATATACGAAAGTAAGACACAGAGAGGGCACCTTTTCTAGTCCGTCAAATTAAGTGCCAGCAGACGCGGTGAAACTTAAGGGCTAGTCTTATAGGCAAAAGCGTAAAGGGTGTGATAGGCCACCTTATTTAAGAGAGTAAATGGAATTTTTCTGTAATGGTGGTATGTGTAAATAGGAAAAAGAACTTTAGACGTGAAGACTATTTACTTCTAAGATTATAATGTGTTGGCTAAAACACGAGAGTGTGGGGAGCAAACAGGATTAGGTACCCTGGTAGTCCATACTGTAAATAATGAAAAAGATGTGAAGCAATTCTAAAAGGTAAGAACTTTTCCGCTTGAGTAGTACGATCGCAAGATTAAAATTCAAAAAACTTGGCTGTTCACTGTTTTGATTAGAGGAGCGTGTCGTTTAATTCGATAGTCCGCGAGAGACCTTACCCAAACTTGAATCCCTCATTGACAGGTATTGCATGGCCGTCGTCAATTTGTGTATTAAACATAAAACAAATTCAACCCAGTGGTTTGTCTATTGGATGAAGTCAGGTCTTATTGTCCTAATGTTTGGGGATTAGATGCGCTACATTTTTTTATACAATGGGAAACTTTGAATGTGAAACCCAAAAATAAGAGTTCGGAAGGTGCCTGGAATATAACGGAAAGTTGGATTTAATAGTAATTGAAAAGTAGAGCGTTTCAATGAAATTTATTCAGTGTTAGTACAAATTGCCCGTCGCCTTTGCTTAGAAAGGTTGTTTGGTTGCCCCTCAAGAGGGTTCCTAATATCTTCGAGGTAGAGTAAGTCGTAACATAGTGAGGGTGAGGGAACTGGCCCTTGGTGGACAGTGAAAAGAAGTACTCTTTTACGTTGTCCAAAAAATTAAAAGAAAGAATGCTAATGCCGTAAATGTTGGAGGCTTGAATCACCCTTGTACCAGCTTTACTGGTTTAAATTTGGCTCATTCTTTGGGTTCTATTATTGATTTTTGGGAAGGCCTAATAAAAACTTATTTTTATTATGGGGCTTGGTTATTAGTTTGATAATGCGAACTGTTTTATGTCATCCTTATCATTTAGTGGAGCCTTCTCCTTGACCTCTTTTGGGGGCGGGGGGAGCTTTGTTTATAACTGTGGGTAGTGTTATATATTTTCATTATGGTTTAAGTCAAATTATGTATTTGGGAGTTTTGATAATTGTGATAATTATGTTCGTTTGATGACAAGATGTTATTAGAGAGTCGACTTTTCAGGGGCATCATTCTTTAATAGTTAAACAAGGTATAAAATATGGAATGCTTTTATTTATACTCTCGGAAGTTCTTTTTTTCTTTTCTTTTTTTTGAGCTTTTTTTCATAGTAGTCTGGCACCAGCTGTTGAATTGGGTGTGGCTTGACCTCCTCAAGGGGTTCATCCTTTAGATTCTTTTTCAGTCCCCTTGTTAAACACTGCTATTTTATTAAGTTCTGGGGGTACTGTTACTTGGGCCCATCATGCTATAGTTAGTGGAAAAAGAGAAGAGGCAATTTTGGGTTTATCTTTAACTGTTGTACTTGGTGTTTTATTCACGGGGTTACAAGCAATTGAGTATTATGAGGCTCCTTTTGCTATCTCGGATTCGGTTTATGGGTCTACTTTTTTTATGGCGACCGGGTTTCATGGTTTTCATGTTATAATTGGAACTACCTTTTTAACTGTTTGTTTGATTAGATTAAAATTTAATCAATTTACTTGTCGTCAACATGTCGGGTTTGAGGCGGCGAGTTGGTATTGGCATTTTGTGGATGTGGTGTGATTATTTTTATATCTTTGTATTTATTGGTGGGGCTCATAGTTTTTAGTGGGTTAATTTAAAAAATTAAGAGTAAAATGTTAAATAATTTTTTTTATATTGTAAATGTATGTGGAAAGAAGGATATACCGGAACCTTGACACTTGGGTTTGCAAGATGCGGCCGACCCAGTGATGGAGGAGATAATTTTTTTTCATGATCAGATTATGTTTTTACTGATTGTTATTGTGGTAGTAGTGTTGTGGTTGTTGGTTGAGGCTTTAAATGGTAAGTATTATGATAGAGATTTGGTTGATGGGACTTTATTAGAAATAGTTTGGACTATAATCCCAGCTGTAATATTGGTTTTTATCGCTTCTCCTTCTTTAAAATTATTGTATTTGATGGATGAGGTTGTGGGTCCGGCTTTAACAATTAAAGCAATTGGACATCAATGGTATTGGTCTTATGAATACTCCGATTATCAGGAACAAACGTTAGAGTTTGATTCTTATATGATTCCAACGTCGGATTTAAATAGTGGTGACTTTAGGTTATTAGAAGTAGATAATAGATTGGTGGTTCCTATTAATACACATGTGAGAATTTTAGTAACTGGTGCGGATGTTTTACATTCATTTGCTGTCCCTGCCTTGGGTGTAAAAATGGATGCGGTTCCGGGTCGGTTGAATCAAGTTGGTATTTTTATTAAAAGACCAGGGACGTTTTATGGTCAATGTTCAGAAATTTGTGGGGCAAACCATTCTTTTATGCCTATTGTAATCGAGGCGGTTTCATTAGATCGGTACATCAATTGAATATTGTCTTTATCTAAGGAATAGTTTATTTATGAAAAAATAAGTGTATTCTTTCTAATTGTTGAATAAATAAAATAGTGTACTATAAGTATATAATTGTTATCGTTATATTATTATTATTGGGGGGCTGAGGAGTAGTTCTTAATAGAGGGCATTTTATTATAATGATAATTTCTATTGAATTAATTTTATTAGCGGCTTTTTTTTTGTTTTTAATTAATTCTATTGAAGTAGATCTTTTAATAGAACAAATTTTTACAATTATGGGCTTAACAATCGCTGCGGCGGAGTCGGCCATTGGTTTAGCTATTATGGTTGCGTATTATCGAATAAGAGGAACAATAATTTTAAAATCTTTTAGTTCACTGCGGGGTTAAAAAAAGTTATTACGGTGATTTTAGATTATTTTGGTCTTTTCGTTTTATTGGTTTTTAGTGTAGTTCTTTCCGCGCTTTTTTCTGGTGCTTCTTATTTTTTAGGGGTAAAACAACCGGATCGAGAGAAAGTTTCGGCTTATGAATGTGGATTTGAGCCTTTTGGTATTCCAGGACGCCCTTTTTCAGTTCGGTTTTTTTTAGTTGGTATTTTATTTTTAATTTTTGATTTAGAAATATCTTTTCTTTTCCCCTGGTGCGTCCTCTTTAATCAAATTTCCCCTTTCGGGTTTTGAGTTATGGTGGTGTTTTTAGGAGTTTTAACTTTGGGTTTACTCTATGAGTGAATTAAAGGCGGGTTGGAGTGAGAATAGGTGAAGATGTAAAACCTTTTTAAAAAGTAAATAAGTTGTAAAGTAGAAGAGAAAGTCCTGTCTATTATGTGAATAATCGTGTATCGAAAAAATTTTAATACCAACTCCGGTGTCCGCCTTAATCCATGCGGCGACCATGGTGACGGCGGGTGTTTTTTTATTAATTAGATCTTCTCCTCTTTTTGAACAAGCTCCATTTGCTTTAATGATTGTAATAATTGTTGGGTCTTTAACGGTACTTTTGGCTGCTACCGTTGGGGTGGTTCAAAATGATTTAAAAAAAGTTATTGCTTATTCAACTTGTAGTCAATTGGGGTATATGGTGGTGGCCTGTGGAATTTCCCATTACTCCATAAGTTTATTTCATTTAATGAACCATGCTTTTTTTAAAGCTTTATTGTTTTTAAGTGCGGGGTCTGTTATTCATGCTTTGTCTGACGAACAAGATATAAGAAAGATGGGGGGGTTGATTAAGTTAATTCCTCTTACTTATATTCTGGTTGTTATTGGCTCTTTATCTTTAATGGGGTTTCCTTATTTAACAGGGTTTTATTCTAAAGATTTGATTTTAGAGTTGGCCTTTGAACAATACTATTTAACTTTTGCTTATTGATTGGGGGGTTTTTCGGCCTTACTTACCACTCTTTATTCGATTCGATTGGTTTATTTAACTTTTTTATCTAATACCAATTCTAGAAAAGCTATTTTTAGACATGCACATGAGGGTTCTTGGAATTTAGTTTTGCCTTTAATAATATTAGCTTTGGGGAGTCTTTTCGTGGGTTATTTGACGAAAGAGGTGGTTTGGTCTTTTCAAATAACATCTCCTCCAGTTGTCTCTCTCCCCATTAAGTTATTGCCGGTTTCCCTTAGTTTGGGGGGAGCGGTGTTAGTTATTGTTCTTTATTTTTATTCAGTGCCTTTTTTTAAGGTGCCTTCGTTTATAGGTCGAATAAGCTATACTTTTTTATACTCTGCTTGGCAGTTTAACTATGTCCTTAATTATTTTTTAGCAAAAAAGGCATGGAAGGGGGGTCATCAAATTTCATATCGAACTATGGATAAAGGGATACTAGAGTTAGTGGGTCCTAAGGGGATATCTAATTTTTTGATTGAGTTGGCTCGAGGTCTTAGTAACTTACAATCGGGCCTAGTTTTTAACTATGCTTTAGTTATATTAATTGGTGTTGCCATATTCATTTGAGGAGTTGTTTAGTTTTTTTTGAGAAATGTCTTTTGATAAGAAAATTAATCGAGGGGGTTAGGTTAAAGTAGACCGTTAGCCTTCAAAGCTAAAAATGTGGGTGCAAGTCCCGCACTCCCTGATTTAATTAGTTTTGGTTATATTTTAGTTGAAATGCCACAATTAGATACTACCGTGTATTTAACTCAATATAGATGAACTTTACTTGTTTTGTTTTTATTATTTTTTTTATTGGTGTTTTTTGTTTTACCCACGATTAAAATTAATTGGCTAATAAGAAAGTCGGTGATAAAAAGTAAGGCTGTTTTAGGGGGGGATTTGGAGCTAACTAAAGAAGTTGTTTTTATTTGGAGGCATGTTCTTCGATAGTTTAAACATCTTAAATGTTTATTTTAGTAATTATTATTGTCGTTTCCCCTATTTGGTTTGGGTTGTTTCTTAGTTTTTTGTTTTTATAATTATGTTCGTTAACGAGAAAAAAAATAAAAAAATGAAAAGTTTATATTTAATTCGCTGGGCGTTTTCTACTAACCATAAAGACATTGGTACGTTATATTTAGTATTTGGGATTGGGGCAGGTATGCTTGGTACAGCTTTCAGTATGTTAATAAGATTAGAGCTCTCGGCTCCGGGGGCTATGTTAGGAGACGATCATCTTTATAATGTAATTGTTACAGCACACGCTTTTATTATGATCTTTTTTTTGGTTATGCCAGTGATGATAGGGGGATTTGGGAATTGGTTGGTTCCATTATATATTGGGGCACCTGATATGGCTTTCCCACGGCTTAATAACATTAGTTTTTGGCTGTTGCCCCCTGCTTTAATATTGTTATTAGGTTCTGCTTTTGTTGAACAAGGGGCGGGTACCGGATGAACGGTTTATCCTCCTCTATCAAGCATTCAGGCCCATTCTGGTGGGGCGGTGGATATGGCTATTTTTAGTCTCCATTTAGCTGGGGTGTCCTCGATTTTGGGTGCAATGAATTTTATAACAACTATATTTAATATGAGGGCCCCTGGGCTAACGTTGAATAGAATGCCCTTATTTGTGTGGTCTATCTTGATCACTGCTTTTTTATTATTATTGTCTTTGCCCGTATTAGCGGGGGCCATAACCATGCTTTTAACGGATAGAAACTTTAATACTACTTTCTTTGATCCTGCAGGGGGGGGAGATCCGATTTTATTTCAACATTTGTTTTGGTTCTTTGGGCATCCTGAAGTTTATATTTTAATATTACCTGGCTTTGGAATGATTTCTCAAATAATACCAACTTTTGTTGCTAAAAAGCAAATTTTTGGATACTTAGGTATGGTTTATGCAATGCTTTCAATTGGTATTTTAGGTTTTATTGTGTGGGCCCATCATATGTTTACGGTTGTTTTTAGCCATTGAAAATAGTAATATTTTTGAGCTTTGTCCTGCTATATACTGGCAAAATCTTTTGAAAACAAATGTTTGGCCGACAAGATTTTTATCTTATAAATTAAGGCGGCAAAGATTGGGTTTTCCTAGGGTCAATCAGTGGGAAACTAAGACCCTTTTTGGTGGATCTTTTTTTTTCTGAGAAAGAGGAGTTTTAGGGTCCTTAGAGACTGCATGCAGGAGATTTAGACTTAATAATCAGTTTTTAATTTCGCAAGATTTTTCTTGATGAATGGGGTTTGTTGAGATTGTTGGCTGGGGTTTTATTACCAAAAAAAAGTTTTATGGTGTCAGAGGCTTTGATATAATGTTTTCAATTTGGCGTAGTGTGGGGGAGGCTCAGCTTCTTTATTACATAAAATGCCGATTTGAAAATGGACATGTGGGCTTTTTAAAGTCGAATGTCTCAGAAAGGTTTTATCTTATAGATAAAAAGCCTACACTTAGTTTGGGGTTTTTACTGGCTTTTACTTTGGGTTGCTCTCAGGGGGGCTTTCCTGTTGGGTTTTTTGAAAATTGATTTGTGGGGCAAGTTGATGGCGGGGGTCATTTTATTATTAATTTTAAGCATAGTGGGAAGAAGGGTGCCCAAAAAGAAGTCGTTTTGTTTTTTGTAATGGCACAAGGTCTTAAAGATTGATTCGTCTTGGAGCAACTTAAAGGTGGATTAAGTGGGGTGTATCGATTTAATAAAAAAGATAACTTTTATCTTTGAGAGGGAAATCAGAGGGGGGTTTTGATTAGGGCCATAAATCTTTTTAAGAAACATTCTTTATGAACTAAGAAAAAAATAGCTTTTTTAAAGTGATGAAAAGTAAATGAAAAATTTTAAAACGAAAGAAGAGGTTGAGATTAAGGTACAGTCCAAGCTCGGATAAGTTCCGACGTGGGGGGAATTTCTATAATGGTTTCCTTAATATATTAGTGGGATGGATGTGGACACAAGAGCATATTTTACTGCAGCAACTATGATTATTGCTGTGCCAACTGGAATAAAAGTGTTTAGTTGGCTGGCCACTATCTTTGGAGGAACTTTGAGATTAGACACTCCTATGCTTTGGGCAATGGGGTTTGTTTTTTTATTTACATTGGGTGGTTTGACTGGTGTTGTATTAGCAAATAGTTCTTTGGATGTTGTTTTACATGACACATATTATGTTGTGGCTCATTTTCATTATGTGCTCTCTATGGGAGCCGTTTTTGCTATTTTTGGTGGGTTTTATTTTTGAGTAGGGAAAATAACGGGGTATTGTTATAATGAGCTATATGGCAAGGTCCATTTTTGGTTAATGTTTATAGGTGTCAATTTGACTTTTTTCCCTCAACATTTTTTGGGCTTGTCGGGCTTCCCAAGACGGTATTCTGATTTTGCAGATTCTTTTGCTGGTTGGAATTTGGTTAGTTCTTTGGGCTCTACTATTTCAATAATAGGAGTCATTTTTTTCATATATATTATTTATGATATCTATGTTTGAGAAGAGCAATTTGTTGGTTGAACTGATGAGGGTGATGAGAGTTGGGCTTCTTTAGAATGGGTTCATGTTTCTCCTCCTTTAGTTCACACATATGAGGAATTACCTTTTATTAAAGAGAATGAGGTATAGCCAAATGCGTAAACATCTTATTTGGTTTTAACTGTGTTGGACGCTTATTTGTTAATTGATAGTTTTGTGATTTAATTAGGGGGCCGGCGAGCTCATGTAGAGAAGACGAATGGTGAGTCATCGGGCTCATGCCCCGAAGAAGTGGGTTCGATTCCCACCTCTACACTTTTGGGTAAAAAGGAAAAAGAGATAAAGGGAAAACTAAGATAGGCTAAATTGGACGGGAGATTCGAAAGAGCGAAGAAGAAGCTTTAAACTCGTGTTTCAATGCGGAGACGCAATGAAGAGAACTGAAAAATGAAACATCTTAGTATCAGAAGGGTACAAAGAAATCAAACGAGATTCCGTAAGTAGCGGGGAGCGAAAGCGGAGGAGTCCAGAAAGTGAGTAAATAGTGGAAGAAAGGAGTTCACATATCTAAGACTAAATGTTAGTCCTATACTGAAAGCGTGAGTACTGTGAAGGAAAGTTGAAAGAGACTTGAAAAGATCTGGAAATTTGTCTTTTAAAGCAGCTGTAAAACAGCGTACCTTTTGTATAATGGGTTTACGAGATATCGTTTGGCAAATTTAAATAAACTTTCTTGCAGATAAAATGTAGGTGAAGAGAAGTCGAGAAGGCTCTTTAGTCAAATTACCCGAAACCAAGTGATCTAACCATGGGCAGTTTTAAAGAACGAACCGGTGGTTGTGGCAAAAACCTCGGATGACCTGTGGATAGGGGGGAAAGCCCAATCGGACTTGGAGATAGCTGGTTTTCTACGAAAACTATGTAAGTAGTGCGTTCACATAGGGCATTGTGTTAATAAAAAAATAGAAAAAAAAATGAACAGAAGAACATTAATTTGTTAGACTATTTAATTCTTTTTATTTAACGCTCTATTAAAATTTTAGGGTAAAGGCCTATTGCTTTAAGGGGGATAGACTTTGAAGGTAAAATTTGAAGTGGACAGACAGACAGGGGGCGAATAGGTCCGTTGTCAAAAGGGGAGAGCCCAAATCAGAAATTAAAGTTACAGATTCAATAATTAAGTGTAAAAGGAGTATGGGATTTAGACAATGAAGAGGTAGGCTTGGAGCCAGCCATCTTTGAAAGAATGCGTAGTAGTTCACTCAAGAACTCTTTTTCCCCAAAAATTATGGTGGCTAAAAATTGAACTGAAATTCTGAGGGCAGTAAGAAGTTTGCTTGGTAGTAGAACAGACTGTTAGATGGTGGTGAGAACCCAAGAATCAGAAGAGATAATGTGAACATGAGTAAAAAAATTGTTGCTTCATCTCCCCTGGTTACCAAGCCTAAGGGTTTGGGTGAAACAGCCTCTAAGGAGGTTACCGATGGGTGATAATAATAAACGCATAAAGTGCCAGGAAATAATTATAAATAAATATTACTGTTGCAAACTAACACAAGTGGGAGATAGTGAGGGGAAAAGTTTTTTTAAGGAACTCGGCAAATTTTTAGCTCTCATTAGAGGGTTTAAACACAAGGCCTCGGCTGTTTACCAAAAACATAGCTTTTTGCTAATATGAAGGTAGAAGTATGAAAGGTGAGACCTGCCCAATGGTTGTATCTAAAAGGGTTGGTAAAGCCAACTTTATAAAGACAATTAAATGGCCGCGGTAACACTGACCGTGATAATGTAGCGTAATCAATAGTCAATTAATTGTTGGCCGGTATGAATGGTGTCACGAGGGTCTCACTGTCTTAAGAAAATGTCCAGTGAAATTGAATTTGTAGTGAAGATGCTACATCCAAATTGTTAGACAAGAAGTCCCCATGGAACTTTACTGGAAACTTATGTGGCTTAAATTAATTTATTTCTTACAAATAAGTAGTTTTAAAATGTGGTGTTAACCTCTTGGATTAATTGGGGTTAGAAAAGCTCACTCTTTTATTTTAAGAAAGCCAACTCAAAAACTTATGTCTTTGGGATTGGATAAGTGGGACAGTTTGGTTGGGGCGACCGCCTTTAAAAAAGTAACGAAGGCGGGCTTAAGATATATTTTTAGTTATGTCTGACTGCGAAGGGGGAATCCTGAGCAGGCACTTATTTTTAGGTGGGTTTAAGTGACCCGTTAATTTAGGGTGAAATAGTTAACGATAAACAAATAAAAGTTACCCTGGGGATAACAGCGCAATAACGTTTGAGAGTTTTCATTGACGACGATGTTTGCGACCTCGATGTTGAATTGCGGCATCCTGGGGTGCAGTCGCTCCCAAGGGTTGGTCTGTTCGTCCATTAAAGCCGTACATGATTTGAGTTAAAAGCGTGGTAACACAGCTTGGTTTCTATCTACAATTTGAAGAAACATTGATATAACTATTTTCTAGTACGAAAGGATCGAAAAATTAGTGGTTCTCTTATTTTTATAAGTTACAATCAATTGATTGACTCGGATACTTTTTGAAGGGGTCTTTTGGTTAATTGCTGATTGCTTCTAAAGTATGAAACTTATATCAAGTTGTTTAAAGTTCTGAAGAGGAATTATTTATTATCAGGGTTTGGTTTTTAATTATACTTTAATTACATTAATTGGTATTGTTATACGGGTTGGGGGGGGGGGGGGAGTAAATAATAGCTCACTAACGCCCCAGGAGTTAGATATGATAACTTGTCATATTGTGCCTAGCTCATTAGAATTATGAGAAACAAAGATCTAGGGTGTATATTTGTATTTTGTTTATTTTAGTGGTGGGCGCCCTTGCTGCCGGTGTCGGAGGAAGAAAATTAGGAGAAAAAGGTGCTGGAATTTTAACTTCAAGCTGTTTAATTATAAGTTTATCTTGGTCCATTTTAGTATTTTATGAAGTAGTTTTAAGTTTTTCTACGACACATATAAAATTATGAAGGTGGTTAGACTCTGATCTATTAACTGTTTATTTTGGCTTACAATTTGATAGTTTAGTCGCGATTATGTTACTTGTTGTTACAACAATCTCTACTTTAGTTCATATTTTTTCTACAGCATATATGGCGGGGGACCCTCATATTCCTCGTTTTATGTCTTATTTGTCTCTCTTTACATTTTTAATGGTTGTATTAGTTAGTAGCGACAATTATGTACAATTGTTTATCGGTTGAGAGGGGGTTGGTTTATGTTCTTATCTTTTAATAAACTTTTGATTAACTAGAATTGAAGCAAATAAAGCGGCCATAAAAGCCATGTTAGTTAATCGAGTGGGGGATATGGGGCTGATTTTAGCAATGTTTGTTATTTTGGATCGTTTTGGGTCTTTAGAGTTTTCTTCTGTGTTTAATATGGTTGTTGTCTCTGCCCCATCGAGTGATATTACTTTAATTTGTTTGTTGTTGTTTGTGGGGGCGGTTGGAAAGTCTGCACAGTTGGGGTTGCATACTTGGTTGCCGGATGCTATGGAGGGTAAATGTTGGGCCCTTTTATCTAAGTAATTAATTAGAATTATTGAGTCACTGTATGCTGGGAGGACTTTGAATAGTTGAAAGTCTATTTATATTTAATAAGAGTTTTAACAATAGGAAGTTTATCCGCAGGTAACAAAATTGGAGGTAAGTAATTAAATTTAATAGATTGGTTTATTAAGTTTAAGAGTAAGAGATTAGAGTTTAAAATTTAATCGAAATTAGAATGCTTTCATTATTGGAACCTCCGAGACTTTTTGTGATTCTACTTTATATATTAAAGTAAACTTCGATTGTGAGCTTTTTTTTAAGTGAGTTTGAATAATCAACTTTAAAATGTTCGTGGTAATAGTTCATTTACTTTTAAAAATATTAATGGTCGTAGTTCCATTGCTTATCACAGTAGCTTATTTAACTTTAGCCGAACGAAAGGTTTTAGGATATATGCAGGCTAGAAAAGGGCCAAATGTAGTGGGGATCGCTGGATTAGCTCAGCCTTTTGCGGATGGCATAAAATTATTTACCAAAGAGATGGTGATTCCGCATCAAACTAATTTGTTTATTTATATAATGGCCCCAGTAATTTCTTTTGCCTTGGCTTTAATTGTTTGAGGGGTTGTACCTTATGAGAGAGGGGTTTTAATAAGTGATTTAAAAATAGGGGTTTTGTATATTTTGGCGGTTTCTTCGATAAGTGTTTATGCGATATTAATGTCCGGGTGGGCGAGTAATTCTAAATATGCTTTTTTGGGGGCGATTCGGGCCGCTGCTCAAATGATTAGTTATGAAGTTTCGATTGGGTTGATCCTTATTTCGGTTCTATTGTGTGTTGGCTCTTTAAGTGTTACTGAGATCGTTTTAGCGCAAAATAGTGGAATTTGGTTTTTTTTTCCTTTATTTCCTGTAACAATAATGTTTTTTGTTTCGGCTTTGGCGGAGACAAATCGAGCCCCCTTTGATTTAACAGAAGGAGAGTCGGAGTTAGTGTCGGGGTATAACGTTGAGTACGCTTCAATGTCTTTTGCTTTATTTTTTCTTGCTGAATATGCTCATATTATATTGATGAGTTGTTTAACAACTATCTTTTTTTTGGGGGGTTGACTTTCTCCGGTAAAATATTTAAAAGGTGGGGCCGAGTGGTTTGGTCTAAAAGCTGCTTTTATAATTTTACTCTTTATTTGAGTAAGGGCTTCCTTTCCTCGAATTCGGTATGATCAGCTTATGGCTCTATT